GGGACGGGCTCACTCCCTTCTCGCCCTCGGCGATCTGCTGGATGCGGTAGGCTTCGGCCTCGGCCGGCCGCTTCACAGTGGCTATCAGCTCCTTCTCCATCCGGATGATCTCTTTCTCTTCGACATCGATCTGCTTCTTGCGCTGCACCACCTCGATTTCAATTTCCTCCTGGCGGATCTTCTGCTGCTCCCGGGCACTCTGGAGCTCGTAGGCCAGCTGGGCCTCCGCAGTCTGCACACAGGAGAGATGAGAAGAAGGGTCTTGGCCATGATCTCCTGTGTGGAGACATAAGGACCCTTGGCAGGCCCTGAAACCAGACACGGCTCTTCTTCCCAAACCTCTTCCCAGGGGTGACACCCCAATCTTCAGAGCTGTCCTTCCCTGCGTGCTCTTCCCACAGCACTTGAACCCAGATGGCTCCAGGTTCAGCTTGGATGACCCTCCCCACCCTTTCCTCTCCTCCTAGTCCCACCTAACTGTTGCAAACAGGAATCTGCTGCAAGGAGCTCACACTGTGACATAAAAACCTGGGTTCTCCACCTCCAGCTCTCCTAACCTATGTAGGAGGAGGAATCTGACAAGTCCCCAAGCTACCAATACCGTCACGAACCAGCCAGGGTACCGCAGTGGGCTGGCGGATACTTCTCACCTTAACGTTGACCTCCTCACTGAAGGCAGCTTTCTGCAATTCAAAAGCCCGTCTGGAATCTGCTATTTTGGTATCTGCCATGAACTTGACATCCATCATTTCTTTCTTGCACTCTGCCTCCTGCAGGGATGAAACAGAGAGCAGAGCTCCAGGGTGTGCAGCTGGAGCCAACCAGGCTGCTCTGGGGAAGCCCAGCGCATCCCCGGACTCACCCGAATGCCAGCATCTCGCTCGGCTTCTGCCACCCCGATGTCGGCATCCCTTTGGACAGCCGCAGTCTGAGTCTTTCCCAGGGAGCTCAAGTAATCCACTTTATCATAGACGTCCTGGAGAGGGGGAAGATAAGTCACGACCACTTCAAACGAGCGACTCCATCCCGCTGAAGCTCAGAGCATCTACTCGTGTGGTGAGGCCGGGGTCAGAACGCGCCACGGCAGCCTGCTGCCAGACAGAAACAGGCGTGACAGGGAGAGGCGGGCTCTGCCGACACCTTCCCCCCGACTCCCTGGAGGCTCCGTTCTCAGCGAGCTCTCTCCCCGAGCCGTGTTTAACCAGGTGCTCTTCGCCCAGCTGCCGGGATGCAGGACGTGCTGCCACAGAACCTCCCGGAGGGCTGGGGCCGGCTGTCAGCCGGAGCCTCTCGGCC